AAGTAGCGACCTTTTCGAGGAGTCGCGAATGCTTATATGTCGTGACTGCTACGTTGTTTAGAAACGATACCGTCCTTGTCCAGTAGCATTTCTTTTCTTGGCCTTCATGATTTTTTAAAAAAAAACTTAAATTTAAAAAAAAAAAAACATATATATTTATGAATATTATTCACCCATTTTTTATACTCCATTACGTGATAGTAAAAAGTAAATAAAAAAAAAAAACATAAAACAAATAATAAAAATAAAATTTAAGATTATTATTTAATTTTTTTTTTTACTTCATTATGTTGAGCAATAACTTTAGAATAGGGAAGATGGTCTGCTATCGCAACCAGAAAGAGCGGCGCCAGGCGCGAAGAATCAAGATGGCACCCACGATTAAATAACGGTCCTTATGAAATACACGAGCTGCATCGTTAAATTCACTATACATGTCCTACTCAAAGACGACTTTTAGCACCCCCCCCCCGCATGATATTGGCACCCGGGGCGAGAAAAAAATGGAATCGGATCGTTAGCTATATATACGGTTGTATTTACAAAACGACGCCCCCCCTCCCCAAAATACACGAGCTGCATCGTTAAATTCACTATACATGTCCTACTAAAAGACGACTTTTAGCACCCCCCCCCGCATGATATTGGCACCCGGGGCGAGAAAAAAATGGAATCGGATCGTTAGCTATATATACGGTTGTATTTACAAAACGACGCCCCCCCTCCCCCCCCCTCACTAACCCATAGCATGGAGGCCATAGCTACCGAAATTTCATACTTTCTTGGTTCATTAATGTATATTTTTTAATGTACTTGAATAATAAGTAAAGAAAATATACCAAAACTTTCTAACCATAGAACATCACATATCTTGTTAAACAAAAGAATTTTTTTTTTTTTTAAATTCAAATAACACCTATTCCTCCTTTTAAAAAATTGCCCAGGCTGTTCCACAGGAAATGTTTGTTAAAAGCCCGCTTTTGACGTCGTCCTACTTTATGGACCCCTAAGAGCCGCATTGCACCGAAATGTCTTTTTAATGTATGTGGCTTAATCAGCACCAAGTTATAACCGCCCTACGCCCGTGTGCAACGGTGTGAATTTTCACGCGTACTTAAACCTTCCGAAAGCTTTAGTTCAGTCCAATGCTAACATCGCAACAGGACTCCAGGGCACGTTCATGTCAGTCGCAATGAAAAGACAAACGCTCTGGTGAAAACCGTGGCCGCCCAGCCGCAGTCAGATGCGCCAGTGACGTATATGGCAGTCCGTTTCAGGACGGAAATGGTGCAGGCGGTGGGGGCAGACAGCAACGACAGCCGGAAGCGTTTTCGCCATCTTGCCAACCCTTAGCAGACCAGACCCCCATGGTGGTAGTAAGGTCGCAGGCAGCAGAGACTTTTGACACAGAAGCGCACCGAGCACATACTTTTACAGGCTACATCGCAAACAGGGACACATACCTGTCGGCATTGCAGCCTGGTCCCGGAAACACTGGCGCATCTGTTGACCAAATCTCCCTCACTAGAGGTTTGAGATTAGGGGGGAGGGGGGGGGACAGGTGTGGGCGGCGAGAGAGCCCTGTGTGAGGCGAATTTTATGTGGCTCAGCACGGCAGATGGGGTTATATGAGAGTAATCTAAAACCCTCGTCATAACATGTGCGTTAGTTAGTTCAGTCCAGCGTAAAAAAAATTGTTTAAAAAAATATATGTATTTTCATAATATCGAGCTCACATAGAATCCCACTGGATGCATGTACGACTCCCCGGCGCCTTTACCAAACAGGTAGCAACCGAATCGCGCTACAGGCTTCGTCGTCAGAGTGTTCACTCCTTTCGGGACCATCAAATTAATGATCTGGTAATCTCCGTCCCCCGGGACGTTGTACGCGGTTATACTGAGTGAAAAAAAACAACGAATTGATTTATTAATTCAATGAAATGATCATGTGCCCAGGGACTTACAAACCATGAGTTCAACTGGCCGTAAGTGCCAAGTGACTGCTATTTATACGCTTAAACTAATTTGGGTACTTCCTGTGACTTTCTGAAGAAGAAATTTTTTATTTTTTTTTTTAAAAAGACGAAAAAATCTCTAAACCTCCCAAATTGAAGTTAAAATCACCAACGTGTTAAAATTGAGAAACTGGTTTTCGAAAGCACAAAGTAAAATAGATCACCTGTTATTTAACTGAAGCTTTTTTGGGGGGAAAAAAAGTAAAAATTCTGAATGCATTAAACCTTAGGAGATATTTAGTATACTAGTGAGCGGAATTTTTTTTTTTAAAGTCAAAGAAACTTCGTTTTGAATTTTGTAAACTATGATTTTTAAAAGTATATATGACGTCTTCAGACGGTTTTGTATGGCCAGATTTTCTAAAAGTTGACAATTCGAATGGGTTTAAGCAGAGGCTGTAAAAGAGAAACAATTTGAACGAAGTAAAGATTTTGCAAAAGGGGGCATTCGCAAATTACATCATGCTCAAGGGAGGAAAAAAAAAAGGGGGGGGGGCAGTGTCGAGAATTTGTGACACTTTGTGACAGTGGGGGGGAGAAGGGGGTAAAAATGTGTGAAGTTACTTTTTTTCGTTTTTTTCTTTAAAATCTAAAACTTTCTAATTTTGAAAAAAAAAAATTATTTATTAAATTTTAAAAAAAAATAATATTAGCTCGAAATTGCCTCAGGTATTATAGGTAATATGAAACTCAGTTTTCTAATAATACTACATCTTAATCCATTATGGGAAAATGTTAAAGAATAAAATGAAAATCTTAGTTAAGTAATGACAATGTTATGTATGTTTTGAATTTTCTTATGTGTGACGTGACACTTTGGGACCAGTGAAGGGGAGGGGGGTGGGTCTAAAAGGTATTTTGTAAGTGACGTAATTCACGAACGACCCCTAAGTTAACAAAAAGTTAACTATGTAGTCTAGAATAGATAGCCACGCGGCATGGTGGTAGGACTCTACAGTTGTCTTTTGACACTCGCATAAACTATAAAGGCATAACTACTTAAAAGTGGTGCCGTATTTAATGTAATGAGCGAGTCAATCAATCGGAGCATACTAACTTAGTCACATTCAAAGTAATACTCACTTAGTCCCAATGAAAAAAAAATGATCACTTGGTCACAATCAATGTAACAAGCAAAATTCACGCACGGGGAAATCGTGTAAAACGTTATACATAACACCAAAGAATAAAAAAAAATCACTTGGTCACAATCGATGCAACACTCACTTAGTCACAATCAATGAAATACTCACCTAGTCACAATTAGTGTATCCTCACTTAGTCACAATCAATGAAATACTCACTTAGTCACAATCAATGTATCCTCACTTAGTCACGATCAATGAAATACTCACTTAGTCACAATCAGTGTATACTCACTTAGTCACAATCAGTGTATACTCACTTAGTCACAATCAATGAAATACTCACTTAGACACAATCAATGAAACAGTCACTTAGTCACAATCAATGAAATACTCACTTAGACACAATCAATGAAATACTCACTTAGACACAATCAATGAAATACTCACCTAGTCACAAACAGTGTATACTCACTTAGTCACAATCAATGAAATACTCACTTAGTCACAATCAATGAAATACTCACTTTGTCACGATCAATGAAATACTCACCTAGTCACTATCAAAGAATACTCACTTAGTCACAATGAATGTATACTCACTTAGACACAATCAATGAAATACTCATTTAGTCACAATCCATGAAATACTCGCCTAGTCACTATCAAAGAATACTCACTTAGTCACAATGAATGTATACTCACTTAGTCACAATCAATGTAATACTCACTTAGTCACAATCAATGAAACAGTCACTTAGTCACTATCAAAGAATACTCACTTAGTCACAATGAATGTATACTCACTTAGTCACAATCAATGAAATACTCACTCAGTCACAATCAATGAAACAGTCACTTAGTCACAATCAATGCAATACTCACTTAGTCACAATCAATGAAATACTCACTTGTCACAATCAATGAAATACTCACTTAGTCACAACCCGAACATGGTTCAACTCCAAATGAGATAGTTCATCGCTCCGGATAACGACGATGGTGTAGTCAGTCGTGTTAGTGTGTGGGGTCCTGTCGACACGAGAATCGTGAAATGATTTAACGCAGTCACGCACGCACCCAAGCACGCAATCAAGCATGCACTCACACACGCAATCAAGCGCGCACTCACACACGAATTCAAGCATGCACTCACACACGCAATAAAGCACGCAATCAAGCACGCAATCACATACATACTCACACGCACTCACACACGCTATCAAACACTCATTCACACGCCAAATCAAGCGCATACTCACACACGCAATGAAGAACGCACTCACACACGCTGTAACACACCCAATGAAGCATGCAATCAAGTACACACTCACACACGCACTCACACACGCACTCACACACACGCACTCACACACGCACTCACACACGCACTCACACACGCACTCACACACGCACTCACACACGCACTCACACACGCACTCACACGCGCACTCAGAAACGCACTCCAGAACGCACTTACACGCGCAATCAAACACGCACTCACACACGCAATAAAGCACGCACTCATAAACGCAATCAGCCACGCACTCACACACGCTTTAAAATACGCATCACACACGCAATCAAACACGCACTCACATACACGCAATAAAACACACACTCACACACGCAATCAAGCAGGCACTCACACACGCACTCACACATGCATTGACACAAGCACTCACACAGGTACTCCCACATGCAATCAAGCACGCATTCAAGCATGCAATCAAACACGCGTTCACACACGCAATCAAGCACGCATTCAAGCATGTGTTCACACACGCACTCACACACGGAATCAAGCACGCACTCACACACGCAATCAAGCACGCATTAAAGCATGCATTCACACACGCACTCATACACGCAATCAAGCACGCATTTTAGCACGCACTCACACACGCAGTCACACGCACACTCACACACGCAATCACACACGCACTGACACACGCTCTCACATGTGCACTCAAGCACGCACTCACACACGATCTCAAATGCGCACCCTAGCATGCACTCACACACACTGATAAACACATTTTCAGAATGCAGAAAGTAAAAAAAATGTAATAGGGAGTTGTTCAAACCTTATCACAACAGTACCCAAATGCACAACTATTTGAAACTTACTAGCAACAGTACATAATGTACAACTTTTTGAAGCTTACTTCCAACAGTACCTAATGTACAACTATTTGAAATTTACTATCAACTGTACCTAATGTACAACTATTTGAAATTTACTATCAACTGTACCTAATGTACAACTATTTGAAATCTACTATCAACTGTACCCAATGTACAACTATTTGAAACTTACCAGCTGATGTACCTAATGTACAACTACTTGAAACTTACTAACAACCGTACCTAAAGTACAACTCTCTTAAACTTACTAACAACCGTACCTAAAGTACAACTCTCTTAAACTTACTACCAACCGTACCTAAGGTACAACTCTCTGAAACTTACTAACAACCGTACCTAAAGTACAACTATATTAAACTTACTACCAACCGTACCTAAGGTACAACTCTCTGAAACTTACTAACAACCGTACCTAATGTACAACTCTCTGAAACTTACTAACAACCGTACCTAAGGTACAACTCTCTGAAACTTACTAACAACCGTACCTAAGGTACAACTCTATTAAACTTACTAACAACCGTACCTAAGGTACAACTCTCTGAAACTTACTAACAACCGTACCTAATGTACAACTCTCTGAAACTTACTAACAACCGTACCTAAGGTACAACTCTATTAAACTTACTAACAACCGCACCTAAGGTACAACTCTCTGAAACTTACTAACAACCGTACCTAAGGTACAACTCTCTGAAACTTACTAACAACCGTACCTAAGGTACAACTCTATTAAACTTACTAACAACCGTACCTAAGGTACAACTCTCTGAAACTAACTTACAACCGTACCTAAAGTACAACTATATTTAACTTACTAACAACCGTACCTAATGTACAACTCTCTGAAACTTACTAACAACCGTACCTAAGGTACAACTCTCTGAAACTTACTAACAACCGTACCTAAGGTACAACTCTATTAAACTTACTAACAACCGTACCTAAGGTACAACTCTCTGAAACTTACTAACAACCGTACCTAATGTACAACTCTCTGAAACTTACTTACAACCGTACCTAAGGTACAACTCTCTGAAACTTACTAACAACCGTACCTAAGGTACAACTCTCTGAAACTTACTAACAACCGTACCTAATGTACAACTCTCTGAAACTTACTAACAACCGTACCTAAGGTACAACTCTCTGAAACTTACTAACAACCGTACCTAAGGTACAACTCTCTGAAACTTACTAACAACCGTACCTAAGGTACAACTCTCTGAAACTTACTAACAACCGTACCTAAGGTACAACTCTATTAAACTTACTAACAACCGTACCTAAGGTACAACTCTCTGAAACTAACTTACAACCGTACCTAAAGTACAACTATATTAAACTTACTACCAACCGTACCTAAGGTACAACTCTCTGAAACTAACTTACAACCGCACCTAAGGTACAATTCTCTTAAACTTACTACCAACCGTAACTTATGTACAACTATTAAATCTATAAAAAAGATCCCTGGGAGGTAAATGATTTAGGTTTAAGGTACGGGCTTCGGTTGGGAAACGCTTACATCCAGATGTACCGCACGTAGAACAAAGAGTTCGGTATGATGAGCGACAGTGACGAGTCTCCCTTGTCCACGGACTGGTCAACCGTCTCGAGGCAGGGCGTCAGCTGCAGTAGAACAACTTGGACGGGCTTAGTGCTCTGGATCCGAAATCCTGCGCGCTCGCTGTTCTTACCACGATGGTACTGCGAAAAAAAAACAGCAACAAAACATTAGGACTTCTTCAAACTTTTTTTGTTTTTATTATAGCATTCCTTTTGTTTAGGGGATGCTGGAAATCTGTTTTGAAATCAATTTAGAGGTGCGGGAGATGTTTGAACACAAGAAGCTTACGGGAAATCTTTCTAAAAATCAAAATGGCTGTGCGTGGAAAGGATGAAACTCAAGAGAGGGGCGGGGCGCTGAAACAGTTCAAGAACTCAGTCTATGCTGATAATGAATAGGTTCAATATAATGAAAACACATTTCGAATTCAACTCCAGGATCAAGTCGTGGAAGTGAAGGGTGGAAGTGAAGGGTGGAAGTGAAGGGTGGAAGTGAAGGGCGGAAGTGAAGGGTGGAAGGGAAGGGTGGAAGTGAAGGGTGGAAGTGAAGGGTGGAAGTGAAGAGTGAAAGTGAATGGTGGAAATGAAGGGTGGAAACGAAGGATGGAAGTGAAGGGTGGAAACGAAGGATGGAAGTGACAGAACGCACCCGAGATTCCCCCATTCCCAAAATCCCCCCATTCCCAAACTAATTATATGTATATGTAACATAATTTTAAAAAAATGACATGGAGGAACGTGGTTCCCCGCACGCATGCGCAGGACTGGAAGGCTTCTTCGCATCACTGAAAGAATCTGTAAATCACTACGAGTTTGTGGGAGATTTTTTTGCTATTTCAGTTTTTCAACGTGGGAGAAACGAAACCCAAAAATACTTGAACACTTTACCATATGCATCTCTGCCTTGAACAGCGTGACTACTTGGTGACTACTATGGGTGCTGATGTTGACATGCGTGAAGGTATCAATGGCCATGATGTAAAACTCGGCCAGCTCATCAATGAGTGGAATGTACAGCCCGACGAAATCTGTGCCAAGGGATTTGTTCCCCAGAAGCATTTCTGTGGGGGGAAAGGTGAAGTTAGGGGGGGGGGGATTACTCACATGATTCAACTGCCACGGCTCAGCTGCGAGAACGCTACATGTCACGAGAAAGTGCTGTGGACAATTCTCAGGGCTATTTTGCTTCTGGTGTGTCGTGCTTCCTTTTCGAAATCGCGACCACCGTCTCCATTCTCCCTCCCCCCCCCCC